TAAGAGGGGATTGTGTACCTGAAATTACCCGGTGGTGTTTATGTAGGGTAGTGGTGGTGTTATGTAGGGTGGTGGTGGTGTTATGTAGGGTGGTGGTGGTGTTATGTAGGGTAGTGGTGATGGTGTTATGTAGGGTGGTGGTGGTGGTGTTATGTAGGGTGGTGGTGGTGTTATGTAGGGTAGTGGTGATGGTGTTATGTAGGGTGGTGGTGGTGGTGGTGTTATGTAGGGTGGTGGTGGTGTTATGTAGGGTGGTGGTGGTGTTATGTAGGGTAGTGGTGGTGGTGTTATGTAGGGTGGTGATGGAGGAGGAGGAAGAAGAAGAAGAAGAAGAAGAAGAAGAAGAAGATCATAAGAACATAAGAACATAAGAATGGAGGAAACTGCAGCGGGCCTATTGACCCATACTGGGCAGTCCCGTTTATACCCAACCCCTATTGCTCATATAAGCATCCAACCTATGTTTGAAGCTATTCAGCGTATTCGAGTTAATGATGATATTTGGTAACTTGTTCCACTCATCCACTACTCTGTTTCCAAACCAGTGTTTACCAATTTCACGCAGAAATCTAAATTTGTCTAATTTAAAACCATTGTAACGAGTTCGCTCCTGGTTGGATAGTTTGAATACCTTTGTTATATCACCTTCATTTAGCCTTGACTTCCATTTGTACACCTCTATCATGTCGCCCCTCACTCTACGTCTCTCGAGGGAGTGCAAATTAAGATACTTTAACCTGTCTCTGTATTCAAGGTTCCTAATGCCCGGGATTAGTCTCGTTTTCTCTCCCCTCTGATTCTTTTCCACGATTCTATATCCATTCTGTAAATACGGGTACCAGAACTGAACTGAGTAATCCAGGAGGTCTCACAAGAGCTGGATATAATTTTAAGATGACCTCGCTAAGTCTTTGTAACTAACACTCCTTTTGTATGAAAACCAAGCACTTTATTAGTCTTGCGAAGAGCAAACACATTGTTTATCGGCTTAAGATTCCTACTTTATCATTACTCCTAAATCTCTTCTCGAAGTTGATTCCGCCAATGGCATCGTTGTTCATCTGGTAACTGGTTTCCTGTTTACATTCCTTATACTGAGTAATTTTGGATTAGTCTTGTCATTCTCCTCTGGATTCTTTCCAAGGATTCTATATCCATTCTGTAATACGGTGGCCAGAACTGAACTGCGTAATCCAGGTGAGGTCTCACAAGCACTAGATATAATTTTAAGATGACCTCGCTAGTCTTGTAACTAACACTCCTTTGTATGAACCCAGTACTTTATTAGCCTTGTTACGAGCAAAACCACATTGTTTACTTGGCTTAAGATTCCTACTTATCATTACTCCTAAATCTCTCTCAGTCGGATTCCACAATGGCATCGTTGCTCATCTGGTAACTAGTTTCCCTGTTTACATCTTCTATACTGAGTACTACATTTGTCCACATTGAATTTCATCTGCCATTTTTCTGACCATTCGAAAAATTTGTTTAGATCTTCCTGTAGTTTTGCAGAGTCCTCGTCAGATTTAATTACACGTCCTATTTTAGTGTCATCAGCAAATTTACTTATGTTGCTGTCTATGCCGATATCTATGTCGTTTATGTATATAATAAATAATAATGGTCCAAGTACTGAGCTGGGGAACTCCACTAGTGACGTTGCTCCAATGCGATTTAGTGCCGTTATGCTCACTCGCTGTTTCCTGTCGTAACCACGCCCTAATCCATTTAAGGATATTACCTTTGATGCCATGCGCTTCTACCTTTCTAATTAGTCTTTCGTGGGGAATTCTGTCGAAGGCTTTGCTAAAGTCGAGATATACCACATCATAATTGTGCCCCTCGTCCTCCGATTGAAAACTAATGAAAAGAATGTTAACAGATTAGTTAGACATGAACGCCTGCTTGTGAAGCCATGTTGGGAATCATTGATCAACTTGTGCTTCTCCAGGTGGTTTCGAAAAGATTTGAAATTATTGATTCTAGTAATTTGCCTACTATTGATGTTAGACTGATTGGGTGGTAGTTAGAGGATAGCGATCTATCCCTCTTCTTAAAAATCGGTATTACATTTGCTATCCTCCAGGATTCTGGTACTACACCTGCGTTTAATGACATGTTAAACAACTTTGCTGGGCATACTAAGCTCTTCCTTACATTCCTTTAATACTCTGGCAAATATCTCATCGGGACCAGGTGACTTATTAGGCTTCAGTTTGTCTATTTGCTTACTAACATCGTTACTAGTCACAACTATCTTGCTTAATTTGTTTTCTTCACTATCTCTGAATAGAGTCGGTGCCTCAGGTATCATGTTTAAATTTTGGTGGTGAAAACTGTTGAAAAGGTAACAACAAA